TTGGGTACCATTCCGTTCCCCCGTCCCATCCCGAATCCTTATCCTGATCCCCTTCCCAGTGCTATATAGTCGTGATGGCTTGGCACTTTATCCCTGATAGTTCCCTTCCCTTCCCTTATCACCCCCCCATTCCCGTCTATACTACGTCGGGGTGAAGGGACGAAGGAGACTATAGCTCGCCCAGGACGCGTTCAGAACGAGTACCGGCCGGGATCACAGGGACACCTCACAGGCAACTGTTAAGACTATCAGGTAAAAGTGGAAACCCTTCGCTGGTCAAAGTAAACGCACCAGGTCACAACGAAGGTGCTCTGGTGTCACGTTCAGCGTGTTCATAGTGAACACAAACACCCGCGTATGGTCAAGTACACATCGAAAACCCAGGAAGCTACCAGGGCAATGGTTGGGTGACTTGCGATGTTTTTTTTCCAACGTCTTTCGTTCATTCATGACAAAGTGAGGAGCTAGGCTACGTCATTGTCTCCGTCACAACTACCACCCTCGTTGCCTTGCCAAGACAACCGCTTCCATAACCTTCAACAAGACTACCACTTTCACAGCTGTCAACAAGACTACCACTTCCACAGCCTTCAACAGAACTACTCTTCAGGAAAACTACCACTGTGAAAGCCCCTGAGCACACAATTACCACGGCAAGAGTCTGCCCTCTGGAGCACCTTCACTTCCATCTCTCAAACATCCCCTCCTCCTCCTCCTCCTCCTCCTCCTCCTCCAATTCCCGGTGTGGACGCGTGGTGGGCCAGCCGTCTCCCAAGCACCTCCACTAAAACCCATTCAATTTCAGTTCTCGATTGATCATGCAGATTTACACTGGTTCTGCTAAGTGCTGAATGTCTACTCTACATCCTAGAGGTATCTAGAGGCCTACAGACCGGGTTTACAGCACGTACATAGGATCATCTAGGCGTTGTTCTCCAAATAGGTAGACGTAAGTCCAACGGGAAAGCCGAATTGGCTTTTTCCCCCAAAGATTTCCGGCGGCTGTTTATATAGAAGGCTCGTCAAGGGCAAAGGGACAGGAAGGTGATGGGGAAGGTTGTGGAGGGTCTATACCCCCTTGTGAGAGTCTTGTCCGGAGTTCCGCGCCTATCCACACGTCTTGGATGGGGTAAGATGTCTTGTGTTATCGTGTAAACAAAGGCCCCCCTTACCACCATCCTCCCCGGCTACCGCGGGCCACCAGTGTCTCCGCGTCTCCGCGGGCATAAACAGTGCCCGCTCCTCAGGAAGTGTGATGGGTAGCACTGACTGAGGTAGACCTAATGCATTATTCATATCCTCTCTTCTCTTCATCAGCTAAATATACCTATAATGACTATGATATGCAAACTTAAACTTAATGATGCATGGGGTATTTTGTTCACTCGTTCTCTATACATGTTTTATTTGGTCTTGGCTTGACATTGTTGGATGAAGGGGGGAAGGAAGTGGAGACCAAGAACACACACACATCCGTTCATCCGCCACCACTGTGGCGCTAATTTGTACACCAGTTATCACGGACGGGCGGTGGAGCGAGAGCCTGTTTGGGAGCCTTTGCAGCAGCCTCTTGTTGATATGTCTCTCTGGTGGCGAGGAGTCACAATAACGTGGCTACAGTATGTTGACCAGACCACACACTAGAAGGTGAAGGGACGACGACGTTTCGGTCCGTCCTGGACCATTCTCAAGTCGATTGTGAATGATCCATTCTCACAATCGACTTGAGAATGGTCCAGGACGGACCGAAACGTCGTCGTCCCTTCACCTTCTAGTGTGTGGTCTGGTCAACAATATGTATCTCTGCCTCTATGACTCTGCCTCTCTGTCTCTCTCTGTCTCTCTGTCTGCCTCTGTTTGGCTCTGTCTCTCTGTCTCTCTGCCTCTCTCTCTATCTGCCTCTCTGTCTCTCTCTCCTTCCATCCCTTGTCCCCCATCCACCCCTCTCTCTCCCTGTCTCTCACATAGGGAATGCCTCAGTTGATGCTTCTATCACACACACAATCGATGTCACTTTCTCAAAAGGGATTGTGTGAGGGCGACACTTTGTGTCTCATAAACTCTCAGTCGATCTCCTTTCCTGCAGTCTATCTCCGTCTACACGTCTTTTGGGTCTCTCGGTCGAATTTTTGTCTCTCAGTCAACGTTTTCTCTCAGTCATTAAGTCGACTTCTCTCTCACTCGCAGTCTGCCGGTCATCGTCTATGTCCAAGATGCTCAGGGAGACATCTTGCTTTGCCTTGGATGATGTCTTGGTCAGTCTCAGAGTCGACATATCTTTCACATATTACGGGTCTCGGTGTCGACAACGCTCTCAATCGGCTTCTCCTAACCTTATCACAGTCGATATCTCTAAAAGAATCACAAGCAAATATATCAAAAATCTCAGTCGACATCTCTCTCTCTCTCTGTCGATACGTCTCTCAAAGAGTATCACATTCGACTTTTCTCTTTTTGCAGACTCCCAGTCGAAATCTCTCTGATAGGTATTACATTTATCTCTTAGTATATCACAGTCGACCTATCTCTCAAGTATCACAATTGACGTATTTCAGAGTCTCACAGCCAATGTCTCTCTCTCTCTCTCTCTCTCTCTCTCTCTCTCTCTCTCTCTCTCTCTCTCTCTCTCTCTCTCTCTCTCTCTCTCTCTCTCTCTCTCTCTCTCTCTGTCTCAGCACAGAGATCTCTCAATTTAGATCTTTAAAACCCCGTTCGCCCGAGATTTATGCATAACAAATTTAATTTTGTCTCGTCTCTTACATCTAAGGAAATATCTCTTGTTCTCTTACCAAAGGCAATATCTCTCTCCTCTCTCTCTGTCTCTCTCGTGTGTGTCTCTAAGGTTTCTAGATTCCGTCTCTGTCGTCACTAAATGCATGATTAATTCCGTATCTCGTATCATGTACTCTTTTGTGCAACTCCGTATTAGTACTCTTTTTGTGCACCTTCATAGTACTGTTCTCTTGTGTACCTCGATACCCTTGCTCTTATGCACCTCTGTACCAGTACCCTCTTGTGTACCAGTACCCTCTTGTGTACCAGTACCCTCTTGTGTACCAGTACCTTCTTGTGTACCCTCTTGTGTACCAGTACCCTCTTGTGTACCAGTACCCTCTTGTGTACCTCTACGCCAGTACCCATCACAAGCTCCACATGTCCGCCATCACAACCCAAGCCACAACACAGGTTATAATCAGTAATATTGATAATGTAGTTATTATTATTATTATTATTATTATTATTATTATTATTATTATTATTATTATTATTTCTATGTTTACTGACAGTATCACCTCTTTTCTTTATTCAGACTTTACTTATTAATTAGTAAACTTAGCAAGATTGTTTTGGTTATTAAAAATATTCGTTTTTTATAATTTTTTTGCATTTTCTCTTTCATTATTATAATAGAACAAAGTTACATGGTACTATTTAATAGTGTTAATATATGCAACACCTCAAGTATTCTATTTTCTTTTGTTTCTTGTGCTTTTGGTAGTTAATTTATGTTATATATTATTGATTTGATTTGTGATAATTTTTATTGGTCATACACTTGGTGATCTCTGCTGCCTGGTTGAGTTTGTCGGCCATCTTGGCAGAGTTGACTGGCTTACCTGTTGTGGCTGGCGTCATGTGGGTGTCGCAGCACTTTCTCGTCCTCTACATGTTTTGTTCTCCTTGTTCTCACCTGTGGAGGAGCACCTATCCCAACACTTGAGTCTAAGGGCCAAACATGAGTCTTTATTAAAAGTCTTCTCCTACCTTGGCGTCACTGATATCCTTCTAGCGTCACTGAAGGATGTCACTGTGTTGACTCCAGTGTCAACTTCACTGACAACGTTTTGATAATATATTAAGAGTCGTGCTGATTAATTACAGCAAGTTGTCATTCTCACTCAAATAATAGCAAGTTATGTCATTCATTTCTCCTGTTTTGCTCCATAGTCGAGGCCATAAATCAAGCGTTTCAATATATTTGTACATTAAATTTTAAGTTTAGGCTAAAATATCGGTCAATTAACTCGTTAATGTTCTAGGGAATTAAGTTAGAATAAAGACGCCAAAAGGTGGGTATTCATTGGCTAGCTAAAATCTGTGGTTTAGAATTTCTGGAACGAATTCGTTCCTTCCAGCTGTCCTAACACTTAGGCTTATTTAGAGACCGAGAGACAAAGAGATAGAGTGGGAGAGAGATAGAGAGATAAAGGACATATGTTGGAAGCTGTGCGGGATATTTGCCATGGAATTAAACAAGAGAATTAGATTCTGGATTTGGCAGCATCACAAATCTTATGTACCTTTTCTTCTTATTTGAAAACAAGAGAGTCGAGGGGAATTTTGGAATTTGCCAGAGTAATTGGCTGGAAACACTGAGAAGTAGTCTTGACATTTACACCAGAGCACACTGATTGGCTAAACCCTAAAGCATCGATATTAATTCTAGTATTTGGTATAATACACTGGAAAACACGTCTTGAATTCTGGAATTTGCTACAACACATCGTCCCTAGCTAATACATCAATAATAATTTTGTAACTTAATTCAGTATCCGACTAGTGGCTAATAAATGCAAGATAAAGTCAATAATTGTGCGTCTGTTAAGCGCTGTTGTCTTAAATATATTGAGAGGGAGTTTGAAATTTATGTCGGAGCACATGATTGGCTGCGTCATCAAGTTGATTTTGAATGGCTGGACTGTGATTGGCTCTTAGTCAGGCTGCTCGCTCTCTGCCGCCCGGGGCACATCTCACCCGCTGGAACCAACTACAGTATAATGTTTATATTGGCCATTAGTACAACCACATTCTGAGACAACCCTTAAGCCGAAACTCGAGCCGTGAAAGCTTGAGCGCTTGTAGGTTATGCGTGAAAGGGGATTTTTTTTTTGTAAGACTAGTTGGCCGGTTTTTAAGTGTGGTCTCAGAATACCGTTAGCCAAGACTCACTCATAAGTAAGAAGGTAAACAGCGATGTCAACTCAAATAAATCAAAAAAGTAAATTTCCAAACTACACATTTATTAATTCTTTCACAATAATAAAAACATAAGAAATTATAAAAATGAATATATTATATTATACTTGCAGACAACCTGGTTGGGCGTCACTGTTTAGAAAAATAGTAGCAACTTTGTGACTAGAAAGACAAAAATTTATATATGAAAGAGGAATGGGGGGCTGCATAATATAAGTGGAGATGCAAGTATGACTACATAACGTTTTCCTGTAGGACTGCGGCGGCCAGGGCCGAGGTGCCGGAGGTGTGTGTTCAAGTGGCACTCGATAAGACACCAGCGGCCAACCCGGGCCACAGAGCCACAGTGCCAGCTCCACCTCCGGCACCCCTCGCCTCCTTGGCACACCCCAAGCGTGTCTAATTACAAATCTTAATTACAGTAGTGATTATCACCGGACTATTGAAGAAAAAAAAATATAAAAAAAAAAGTGAGACCCAGATTTTAGCAAAAATTTCAGTGGGTCATTGACAGCATTTTTATTTCTTTTATATTTTTTTGCCCTTTCCATTAAAACTATTATAACAAATTTTGGAGCAACCAGAGGCATGTTAAACAATGAGACGGACCTCCAGACCTCCAGGCAGCCTCTAGGAGGCTTCCAGGTGATCTCTAGGCTTCCAGGAGTCTCAGAATGTTCCTTCCAACGACCCTCAAGACAACCCTCGGGAGTTAATCTGTAAAGACTCCGAGGCATCTTCAGGAGAAGTGGAGGCGACTCCGCTTGCCTCACGACCACACCACAGTTGGCGGAGCTTCGCCAGGCGCACGCTGACCACACCCTGGCGCTCTTTAAGCCTGCTTGCGCTCATCTTTACCAGGATCTGGGCCTATCTTTGGCCTCGAATGGCGCATGCTATTTGGTTCAGGCTTTTTGGCCTGTTATAGGCTTTTTTGTCTGGCGTTGTCCCGACTCCGGCGCTGATTTAAAGCTGCCGAAATCTGTAGTTTTAAGCAGCCTGAGCTTCAACACATCCCAGCTTAAGACACACTTGTCATCGTACCAACCCAAACCCACACAAGAGGCGAAGGTGAGTTTGAAAGGATCTTTGTAGACAGAATATGGGTTACGCTACGTTTGGTAGAAATGTTACCAAAATATTAGCCATCATTCACACAATCACTGAAAACTTCTGAAAACTAACACATATAACATTCAATATAAAATTTTCGCGTGGCGTCAACAGGGCCCGCGAGTCATATATATCTACAATGTATTCTACTTGTTTCTACCCTCATCTACGTCGATATGAGAGAAAACACGTAACAGCAAAATATTCAGCGCTATCCTCAAAGACCCTCAAAACCACTTCTATATGTCTCTTTCTCTCTCTCACTCTCTCTTGCGCACTTTCTCCAAGCCGGCCACCCCACTCACGCTTTCCGTGTTCACCCTGGAGCCCAACTTGTCACCTTAAGTGCCACTCTGTACCACCTTGGGTGTCACTTCGTGGCACTTTGGCACATTGAGTATCCCTGTGTGTGTCACCTCAAAACGGCTCCCAGAGCCATATAAAAGTGCCACTTGAGCAACACTCAAGGACCACCGTGTGTCACTTTTAGTTGCATTGCGTGCCATCTTAAGTGGCACTGTGCCACCTGGTGGGACACGTCGCTCCTCGGGACATTGGGAGTTATAATCAGATACCAAAGAACTCAAGACGGCCATCGTACCCCCCCCAAAACTCCAGGTCTGAGGGGCGGCCCCCCAAAAAAGAGAGCCTCGCAAAGCGAGACTCGTTCTAGCACATTTAAATTTATGTTTTTGTATCATTATTAATCCATTTTTTATTTAATTTTTGGTTACACAGTAGCGCGGTGATGACTGATTGGGTTAAACTGATGAGATATGGTTTTATCTTTTGGTTTGTTTTTGTTGAAATGTTCCTCTTCATAAGAGTGTGGCGGGAGTCTTTCCTATAAGGATAACAAGATTGGGTATTTGTACTGGACCGCTACTGTTCACGCCTCTATCACACATCTTATCACAAAATTATTTAGTTTTTCGTACCTTAAGAGAAACCGTACCGGTTAGTTAATAGTTGTACAAGTAAGAAAAATATATGCCATATTTGTTAATGATAATAAAGGGTACATATTGTACAACAATGTAATCTTATCCATGCTTACAACAAGTGTGAAGAGTGAGTGCCGCGTCAACGGTAGAGCAACCCTCTAATGTTGTGGCAAACATAACCTATGTACAGATTCACAACCATCGGCTTTGAAAAGTCTACCTTTCAATCACCTGTAGTCCGCTACGCCTGGGCAACTCTGTATTGTTCTATGAAACATGGGCATATTCGTCACTATACTATGAACCAAAATCGTCTATACCTGAGGCAGTACAAAATTATAAAAGGTGAGGGTTATGGCAGGTGGTGTCAGATCTGCTGGTGCGGGTGTGGGCGGTGGCTGCCAGCAGCCAGCTGCCCCGCCCACACGCCCACACGCCCGCCCATCCTCCTGCTGGGACACGCTCAAGTTCAGGCGACACCTTTTGATTTTGTTGGGTGGCGGGTCAGGGAGACAAGGAGGAGGCTGCTGGTGGTGGCGCTGGCCCGCCCGACCTCTAGTTGGCCACCAGCAGGTGCTGGTACTGTGACGCCGGGTACACGCCCATCACGCCCTCGTTCAGCGCTGTCGTCTTGTCGCCGGCGCCCATGGAGGCGGCGCCAGGGGCGGCCCCGCCCATCATGCTGCCGCTGAGGGGCTCGTACATGGGTGGGAACTTGGGTCCGGCCGCCTGCTGGCTGGCAGGGGGCAGCAGGTCTGTGAAAAAGGACGGTGAGGTGAAGCTCTGGTCGAACATGCCGCGGCCCCAGGGGTTGTAGGCCCCGCCCCCTGGGGCGCCCCCGGGGAAGTAGACCCCTTGGGGCTCCAGGGGCGGGTTGGGGCTGAGGGAGCGAGGCCTGGACGGTGGGAACTGACTGCCGAACCCTGCCGTCGCTACCGCAACCGCCTGCTGTTGCTGCTGTTGCACGTGTTGCTGCTGCTGGATCATCTGGCGTTGCTTGATGTAGTGAGAGAACTCGGTGGGCGACATGCGGTTGGCGCGCTTGGTGCTCGTCTTTAGCTTCGTCGACCCGAACTTTGTCTGGGCGAAGGTTGCCGTGGTGAAGGTGAGGGGCGCGGAGCTCTTGTTGAGGAAGGCGTTGATGGGCGACGCCTCCCGCTGCTTGAAGGGCGGCGTGGGCGAGCTGGCCGAGTACGGCGACGTGGACTTGGGGCTGATGGACACGTTGCTGAGGGACGAACTCAGGTTGTCGATGGGCTTGAAGCACTGCGCCTCGGGGTTGAAGGTTTTGGTCACCTCCTTGTCGAGGTTCTCCTCCTGCGTGGCGGACTCCGCCGCCTCGGAGTACAGGACCTTGATCTGTCCCTTCTCCCCGATCCTGTAGGAGACCTCGCCGGGGTCCACCCAGACGGCCAGGTCCTCCGGCAGGTTGTCTTTGATCTCCCGGACCTCCATGCCGGCCTCCCGCGCCGCCTTCTCCAGGACGGGGTCGATGGGGTCTCCGGCTTTGAGGCAGCGGTAAGCCGAGCCCTTCATGGGCTTGTCCGGGTACCAGTGTCCCTCGAACTTCTCCTTCAGCGCCTTCTCTAGCTCCTCCCCGAAGATGTTGACTCGTCGTCGTGGCAGTTTGTTGTACATGTAGGAAATGACGAAGTTGAGCGCCACTTGGATTTCAAGGTGCATTGTCGGAAGGTGTTGAGGGGGAGCGTGAGGGAGCGACGGTGGGGGGTGGTGACGTGGTGGTGGTGGCAGACGGTGGTGGTGGTGGTGGTGCTGCGCTCTGGCCAAGTCCTTCTGCCCTCAGTCATGCGCTCCTGTGGGGAACAACCTACGTTACTCTTCTCTCCTCATATATCTATTACATATATACATACAACAATAATTATATATATTTGAAAATATATATATATATAATAATAATAATTTTGTTTTCTGTGGTACAATACGTGTACTACTGAAACCAAAATGCTTTCAAATGATAATGTTAACAAAACAGTGAGAGTAGTGTTAGTCGGTGATGGTGAAGTCATGAGCCCTGGTGAACCACTTGCTTCACTCTCGGGAGACCTCCCGCCCCTCAACACCGCCTAGACTTGCCTTTACAGGTATCCATTTGTGCTTTAGGAGGTCTAGGGGAGTTTGTGAGGGGTGGGGGGAGGAAGGGGGGGCTGTGAGGGGAGTGAGGGAGGATTGTTGTGAAGGAGATGGGAGGGAGGGAGGGGTTGTTGAAGGGGTGAGGGAGAGGGATGGGAGGGAGGGTGTTCCAACTGCGACACAGCACAAGCACAAGCCAGCAATTCTTTACCGAGGACTAAGAAAACGGTGCATAATTCACCAGGGCAGGTTACACCCCCACCCATCATGGGGGTGGTGGACATTGGTCACGTTACTGACAATACCAAGTGTTGAATAATCAAGATATATAATGATAGAACAAGTGCAGCGTCCTGTCATGTCCTCCCCATGTGACCATCCTCGGGATTACTGGATTCCATCCAGATTAATACGTGTACACCATGAGGAAACTCCCCGCATATCCAGCGACATGGTTTCAATACCAAACGCATACAAATGCAAAAAATACTTTTTTTAGCATTGTTTTTTTGTACTTACCAACCAAAATTTACTAGAGGTCGAAAAGGTAAGCGAATTTCTTAGTGGGAGAGATTGAAGAAGCTAAACAAGAAATAGTTTCAAAAGTTGATCTTACAAGAAATAGGAGAGTCGGGAATGACTGCATTAGCCAATCTGCAGCTGCTGTGGGGGTATCGGGGGGCTCAGAACATGGCACACAACCCTATAAGCACCCGTAGGTGGGTACACCTCGCCCTCCCCTGCCCACAATACCCTGCTCCTACCTTCCTGCCAACCCACACAACGGAGTTAAACTTGTATGGGAGCCATCGCTGCATTTTACACAAATAACTGCAGTCGACTCAATCTCCAGACACACCAGAAGCTGCCGGGTTGTTGGGATAATATATCCCACCTGGGATGCCACCAGGGGGGCAAGGAGGGGGGAGGTGTAGTTGTTGAGGAGGGGGAGTGTGGGGGGAAGGGGGTGAGAGGTGTAATTGTGAGGGGGTTAGAGGAAGAGGTGTGGGGGTGAGAGGTGTTGTTATGTAGGGAGGAAGAGGTGCAGAGTGTTGGAGAGTTGCCTGAAGCTGTTGTTTATCTAGCCTTTAGTGATCCAGATGACGATTCAGTGACTCACTAGAGGCTGGATAAACAACTGAGTTCACTGCCTAAGGCTGGATGTATTGGCGTGTTGCCTGAGGCTGAATAATCAAAGCTATGTGCTGCCAGAGGTAAAATTCTAAAACACACGCACACGCCCGTTGCCAGGAGGGTGTCGCCTGTTATCACTGGTGTTGGTACCCTGAGGTAACCCTGAGGTAACCCTGAGGTAACACAACCACCAACTTGAGACCGTCTAATCGGCCAGAAGTATTGCATCAACCACAGATACGTGTGTATGGTGTATCATGCTCGAGAAGAATTACCAGCGAGTATAGGTTAGATAATCATCCATAAAACGTTGACTGCTGTAAGTAACCCGCGGGGAAATGGTCTGCTTGTTAGTGGAACATTTTCAAGCTGTGTATTTGTCAGAAGCGTTGAGTCATGGAACTGAAAATGACGAACATGTCAGGAGAGCCTAAAATGAACCTAGAGATGCGCTGCCTGAGGGAGGAGAATCACGGAAGAACAAACAACAATGCCTGAGGGCTGATAATCATGGATAGTGTGATGGGGTGTTGCCAGCTATGCATCACTGCGTTTTGCTTGACCTTGGACACTAACTAGGGTAAATGTGCTGGACAGGTTTGTTCCCTGACGACATTGCTGTTTTGAGTTATTTATTCCGTTGAAAGCCCAAGCCCAAGTGCTTAACCACTTGGGCTGGACGGTAGAGCGACGGTCTCGCATCATGCAGGTCGGCGTTCAATCCCCCGACCGTCCCCAAGTGGTTGGACACCATTCCTTCCTCCCCGTCCCAAATCCTTATCCTGACCCGTTCCCACTTACTAGTCGTCTCTGAAACTCTGCTCATTGTTTCTCGCCGGCGCCCGGGATCGAACCCGGGACCACAGGATCACGCGTCCAGTGTTCTGTCCGCTCAGCCAACGGCTCCCCATAACGATATTTTTGGTGCTACATCAACACCAATGTTATGCTGATAACGGAATTGATTTCTACACTCGATAACCGCAGTGATATCTGTCTCCCCCAATACACCCGCACGTAATAACTTTCGGGGGGGGGGGGGAGGATCTCGTGATATATGTTTGTAATATGACCTCGAATCGGTCATCTGGTCGAATCTCGAACCCATTGTTGATGTGACAACTTATATTGAATTTTGTAACTAGCTCATCAAGATTGTAACTTGCTTAGCTAAATGACTTGTGGGGTTCAGTCCCTGAGCCCATTATGTGCCTCTGTAACCCTTTCCACTACCGCCCACAAGATGGGTATGGGGTGCATAATAAATGAACTAAACTACCACCAGCTTGGGGGGGGGGTGTTTAAAGTGTAAGGTGAATCCCTAGGTGAAAACACCTTTGACACCCCCCTCACCCCCTAATTTACACCCCTCCCCCCATTCACACACCCCTATTTCACCCCTTAAAAGGCCGTGTTGACATTAGTGAGGCAGGCTCACCATAGCCCGTGCTACTTGCCCCGCGCCTGTGCCATGTAAGTTACGGGCTCGCCATAGCCCGTGCTACTTGCCCCGCTTCTGTGCCATGTAAGTTACGGGCTCGCCATAGCCCGTGCTGCTTGGAACTTGTTCCGAGTAGCTGAATCTATAACAACAACAACAACATTCGTGAGGGGGCTCACCATAGACCGTGCTACTTTGAACTTTGTTCCCCGTAGCTGAATCTTAAACAACAACAACAACTAGTGAGGCTGTGTCTTGCAGATGGGGGGGGGGAGGAGGGAGAGTGGGAGACGAACGGGAGAACAAAAAAGAACAAGCCGTAACCACAGATAAAGGAGGTAGAAGAAAGTAGGACAGAAGGAAGAAGAAGAAGAAGACAACAAATAGACTCACTAGGAATCTGCGTCAGAGGAGGAGGAGGGAAGTGACCTTGACCGAGCGTGTCCGTACCCAGTGCAGCGACTGTGGCCACGACGTCGCCGTCTCATCCCAACAAGGTATGCTTAGCCACCCGTTCGGACGGTGGGGCTCAGCGTGTCACAGAACCCGGCAAATCTCACTCTTATCTACACCTTACACTAGATTTAAGTTCCTGATTCACTGTGTGCTTGTATGCTGTCAGTCGTGATGGAATCGCAGGAGGCAGCCACCACCTCCCCCCTCCCCTCCCCCTCCCTATAACGGTCCCTCGGGCGACGTTATAAATAGGGTTAATATTTGTTATTTAAATTCCAACGCAGCCGTTTGGGAGATGGATTGTTTCTCAGTTATTACTCTTTATTTAACTGCTGCTGTTGTTCCCTCTTCCTTCTTTCTCCTCTTCCTTCTGTCCCTCTTTTTCCCCACTCCGTCTCTCCCACTTTGGGCCGGTGTGTTCTGGAAGATTCTGGCCAAGGTTCATCAGCTGACTCGCACTCACACACTGTGGCGTCGGTGGCTGTGTGGACAGCACGCTGGACACGTAATCGTGGGGCTTGGATTCGATTCCCGGTGCCGGCGAGAAACCATGGGCAGTTTCTTTCAGCATGATGCAACTGTTACCTAGCTGTAAATAGGTACCCGGGAGTTAGACAGCTGTTACGGGCTGGTTCCTGTGTGTGTGTGCTCACCTCATTGTACTCACCTAATGGTGCTGAACCCTACTGGACCAGTAGGGTTCAGTAGAGCCCAGTAGGGTCCAGTTGGGTCCAGTAGGGTCCAGTTGGGTCCAGTAGGGTCCAGGAGGGTCCAGTTGGGTCCAATTGGGCCCAGTAGGGTCCAGTAGGGTCCAGTTGGGTCCAGTAGGGTTCAGTTGGGCCCAGTAGGGACCAGTTGGGTCCAGTTGGGTCCAGTAGGGTTCAGTTGGGTTCAGTAGGGTCCAGTTGGGTCCAGTTGGGTCCAGTTGGGCCCAGTAGGGACCAGTTGGGTCCAGTTGGGTCCAGTAGGGTTCAGTTGGGTCCAGTAGGGTTCAGTTGGGTCCAGTAGGGTTCAGTTGGGTCCAGTAGGATTCAGTTGGGTCCAGTAGGGTTCAGTTGGGTCCAGTAGGGACCAGCTGGGCTCAGTAGGGTCCAGTAGGGCCCAGTAGGGTCCAGTAGGGTCCATTTGGGCCCAGTAGGGTTCAGTAAGGTCCAGTAGGGTCCAGTAGGGTCCATTTGGGCCCAGTAGGGTCCAGTAAGGTCCAGTAGGGCCCAGTAGGGTCCAGTAGGGTCCAGTAAGGTCCAGTAGGGTCCATTTGGGCCCAGTAGGGTCCAGTAAGGTCCAGTAGGGCCCAGTAGGGTCCAGTAGGGTCCAGTAAGGTCCAGTAGGGTCCATTTGGGCCCAGTAGGGTCCAGTAAGGTCCAGTAGGGCCCAGTAGGGTCCAGTAGGGTCTATTTGGGCCCAGTAGGGTCCAATAAGGTCCAGTAAGGTCCAGTAGGGTCCAGTAGGGTCCACTTGGCTCCAGTAGGGTCCTAAACCTGTCCCAGCATGACCATTGTGAGGTCATAGTGACGTCATACCTCTCGTGATCAACACTCGAGGTGTTGTGCTTAGCTCCTGGGCCCGGCTGGTCAGTGTGCTTAGCTCCTGGGCCCGGCTGGTCAGTTATGTTCCTGTTCAGGGTGTTTTCTCTGCCCACTGCTGCCCTTCTCTCACTGGTGAGTGATGAAGATTGAGCCCAATAGGTGCCACGGTGTCTACCTTCCCT